GTCTGTATTTTAGAGCCTCAACTTCCTCTTTCTGCCCTCCTTTTCAGTCTCCTGACTCTACTGCCACCCATTACTTGAATGACCTCGGACAAGTCACTTTCCCTCTGTAACCTGAAGACCTTCACCAGTTTCTAAAAAAACGTGCCAAGTAAATAAATTGCAGAATCCCTTAGGGCTTTATTAAAATGTAGAGTCTTTATATGTATATTTTTTTCACATGCAGACTTCCAAGTAGACATTTCAAAATTTGAATGCAATTAAGACATCGTGCCAACCGAAAGAAAAGCTTCTGTGATTCAGCAAAGGGAATATATTTTCCTTCCTAATGTAGGGAGCCATCACACAAGGCAGGGAATGGCTTGACTATGGGAATTTTCGGACTGCAAATGAAATCCTTCAGGTTAGAGAAATGGGATGGGCTGCCTCTCACCTGACATCTACAGCAAATAAATGGACAAATGAATATTTGGTTTACAGAGGAGAATCAGGGCAGTAACCAGACAATCTGTGCAACTGCCTTTTGCTTCATAATCGAACTGTGATTATTTTAGGGGTGTCTCATCTTGCTAATGGAAGTCTACCATCTTGATAGTGTAAATTGTCGGAAAGGGCTTTACGTTTCAGATAATGTCAAGCAAATACAAATTCACATATTGGAAAGCATGATTTCCTCATAGGTCATTGTCAGGAATTATGTTGTTGGATGTTTCATGTTTCATCAACGAGATGACGTTATTCTGGGTCATTATGATCACATCCAAGGTGTGATCAAGTTTTCCAGGGCAGTAAGTAAGTATGTAGTGAATGGAGTAGATGAGGACACGGGTGAAATACCCAATATTACACTTGGATTTCTTGAGAAGAGGAGATGATTTTGAGCTCTTCCTGTGCACCTAGAATAAGTGGAGAATTCACGTAACTACTTATTTTCAGCATACAGACATTCAGGTGCATCACTGAAGACATGTACTGCCTCGATCATCTTTACATATTGAGATTGTTTTCCTTGCCTTGAAGTGATGATTAGCATGCAAACTAGTTTCCCTCTCGGAAAAGTCTGTAGCTCCTTTTTGTAGGTAACTGTTGGAGTCCTACCACAGAGGAAGGGGGATTGCTCGGAGTCTCTTATTTCAAGCCAGAAAGAGCCTCCCCTTTGATTTTGTAGTTCACTTTACGGTCTTGTTAGGATTCACCCATTCTGGTTGACGGGGTTTAAAACTGGCACTGAAATACCACCTTACAAATTAAAGCCAACAGTTAGGAAATGTGTTTGTTATCCATTCATCTACTCATTTAGCGACAATTTCCCAAGTGCCTACTACCTGCTAGGCCCTCTTCTCAATGCCGGGAATACAGAAGGGAACAAAACAGATAAAAAAGATCCTCCCCTCATGGGGCTTTCATGATCCTGTGTGGAGGTAGACAGCAAATAAAGTGCATAATAAGTCAGTTGGTAATATGGGCTGTGGGAGAACAAGAAAGCAGGAGGAGGTCACGGTGAAAGCTTTCTCAGTGGCGGGAGGAAAGAGCAGCTAGCTCTGTTGAACAGGGCGGCTTCTGGTAGACCCGCAGTGGGTGAGGAGCCCGCCGTGGGGAGACGTGGGGGAAGGCATATAGGCAAAGCCCGGGGGAAAGCCTCAGCCTCATGGTTGTCCTCTCTGAGAAATCGCATGGGAGCCACGTGGCTAGAGCAGAGGGGTCTGGTGGGGCTGGGGAAGGATTTGGGAGCGAATGTGAGGCCAGGATGTTTGGGAGACTGCAACACTTTGCCTCTAACTGAGCCGGGAAGCCTGCAGCACAGTAGCAATGAGACGTCTGTGCGGTAAAGAACCACCCGAGTGTTGTGGTGAGGAAAGCTACGGGGAGGTGGTCTCAGCACGAGCGAGTGTTGATAGGAGGTCTCTGCAGTAACGGGGGAAAGACGGTGGTGCCTTGGTGCAGGCCGTCCACTCTGGATGTATTTTGAAGTCAGTGCTACCAGGTGTTGCTGAAGGGACGTGAGAGCACAAGAAGTGTGTGACCTCAGGGTTTTCAGCCTGGTTAGGCGGAAGGAAGGGGTTTCCATTTACTGAAATGGTGGCCCGTGTGGTGGGCTGACAACGATGATGATTTGAGTGTTGGACACGTTATTTTCGAGTTGGCTCTGAGACCTCCACGTGGAGCTGACAGGAGAACCATCGAATATTGGACTCTCCGTTTGGGGCAAAATCTCTCTTGGAGACATAACATCTGAGAGTCAGCAGCACAAAGGCTTTAGGTAAAGCTGGGACTGGACCAGATCCCTAGAAAGTGCAAGTGCACGAGAGAGAAGAGGGAGGTCCCCGAGTTCAGGGGCTGGGTGCTGTCCTGTTTAGAAAATGGTGGCATGGGGACAAACCAGATCCCTAGAAAGTGCGAGTACACGAGAGACAAGAGGGAGGTCCCCGAGTTCAGGGGCTGGGTGCTGTCCTGTTTAGAAAATGGTGGCATGGGGACAAACCAGATCCCTAGAAAGTGCGAGTACACGAGAGACAAGAGGGAGGTCCCCGAGTTCAGGGGCTGGGTGCTGTCCTGTTTAGAGATGGTGGCATGGGGACAAACCAGATCCCTAGAAAGTGTGAGTGCACAAGAGAGAAGAGGGAGGTCCCCGAGTTCAGGGGCTGGGTGCTGTCCTGTTTAGAGATGGTGGCATGGGGACAAACCAGATCCCTAGAAAGTGTGAGTGCACAAGAGAGAAGAGGGAGGTCCCCGAGTTCAGAGGCTGTGTGCTGTCCTGTTTAGAAAATGGTGGCATGGGGACAAACCAGGTCCCTAGAAAGTGCGAGTGCACCAGAGAGAAGAGGGAGGTCCCCGAGTTCAGGGGCTGGGTGCTGTCCTGTTTAGAAAATGGTGGCATGGGGACAAACCAGATCCCTAGAAAGTGCGAGTACACGAGAGACAAGAGGGAGGTCCCCGAGTTCAGGGGCTGGGTGCTGTCCTGTTTAGAGATGGTGGCATGGGGACAAACCAGATCCCTAGAAAGTGCGGGTACACGAGAGAGAAGAGGGAGGTCCCCGAGTTCAGGGGCTGGGTGCTGTCCTGTTTAGAAAATGGTGGCATGGGGACAAACCAGATCCCTAGAAAGTGCGAGCGCACCAGAGAGAAGAGGGAGGTCCCCGAGTTCAAGGGCTGGGTGCTGTCCTGTTTAGAGATGGTGGCATGGGGACAAACCGGGGGGCGGGGTTGCAGAGCGTGAGAAGAGAATCCGTGTCCTGCGGGACCGAAGGGAAATTCAGCAGAATGGTGTCAAGTGGAGACTATGACTCAAAGAGAAGGTGCTGATGAGCGGTGTCACTCCGTGTGGACGATGGGAGTGGGGCTTCTCGGTGGCTCTGCTGAGCCAGCACCACAAGGAACCCGGTGCTTCCCCTGCCCAGGCTAAGGGAAACCAGCGTCTTCCAGCTTACGCACAACTGAGTCATGTGCGCACCTCCTGTTTCTGGCCATCGGGTGCAGTCCTTTCCAAGCTGTAGCCTGCACAGAGTTCATCTACTTCAGAATTATGTGTGCATTTTACATGGAAAATAGCTTACGTAAAACCTACAGATACATATTTATGTAAATACATAAAACATACGCATACAGGGGCCCCACTGGGACTCACCCCATCAGCGCATCCCAGTGTATGTCTTGGGCGCTCCCAGAAGGTTCCTGAAGTTGACTGTTGCAGAACCGCCCGATCGACAGTATCACGAAACGTGCTCTGGATTAGGCGCTTACCTGAAAAAGCAACTACGAAATGTTCTCGTTTTTAGAAACTAAGCAGCCAAGCAAACCTCCAGCCCTTCCCTATATATCTCAGAGAAAAAAAGCAAGATATTTTTTAAAATAATTCATGTTTTCATCATTCCCAAATCACAAACGGTCCTGACAGTAAAGACACGGGTATTTTTCCCTCGGTCTTCTTCATTTATGTCAAGTTAGATACAACTTCTTTGCACTTCTGATGCAGATGGTATTATAATTCGAATTCTTGACAGCATTTTTCTGGGAAGACATCTTCAAACAAAACCATCTGTAAATAATTTGTGGTGAGCGGCATCTACACTTGCTCACTTCATGGCAGAGAATGAAGGAAAGCCCGTCTCACTTGTGCATATGTAGTCATCTTTGTTAGATATATTTAAAATGGAGATTTGTAGGGTAATAATTCCAGAGCCTAGTCTGTCTCTTGACAGCTGAGAAGGGTTTGGTTTATGTGACAAGCAAGAAATGGTGAAATTATGAAAATGGATGTTATCCGTATGTCATCCGATTTGTAATGCAGATTAAGAAAAAATGCTTTATTTTTGCTGATCTCCCTTGTTGCTCTTGCTGAAGCAAGGATCAAAAGCTACAGGGCCACCAAGATGGAAGCGATTACTTGTGAGAGCTGGATTTCTATCTTTTTCTTTCCAGAGTTTTCAAGCGCAGGTCTCCTTTGCTGACCTATTTAATGTCAACCAGCCTAAATGGAATTTTACCATGTTTTCTTTTTTTTTTTTTTTAAAGATTTTATTTATTTGAGAGCGTGCAAGCGGGGAGGGGCAGAGGGACAGGGACAGGGAGAAAGAATCCCAGGCAGACTCTGTGCTGAGCGCAGAGCCCGGCATGGGCTGGATCTCATGACTGTGGGACCATGACCTGAGCCAAAACCGAGAGTCCGACGCTTAACTGACTGAGCCACCCAGGTGCCCCAAATTTTACCATGCTTTATACAAACTTACCCATTTCTGTACAGTGAAAATTTAGCTGGGTTATAGTGGTTATGTAAATGCCTACCAGGAGCCTTCTGGATTACAAATATGGCCCAAACAATGTATGTTTTGTAGTCCGTATTTTCATTTGAGTCTTACAGAGGGGGTTGTATTTGTTTTCAGCTTTTCTACACGTAAAGGGCGGCGCTCACGTGTTGACCATGTAGTCATTAGCCATACAAGGGTATGGGTTTTGTTGTCACCTTGGTACTAGAGTATGTGGTTTGTCTTTCTCCTGGATTTCAGATCCATCTGCACCGCCCGCGCCGGCCAACCTCCGGCTTGCAAATTCCACCATAAACAGTGACAACACCGTGACCGTGGCTGTGGTTTGGGATCTCCCCGAGGAACCCGACATCCCCGTGCACCACTACAAGGTGTTTTGGACCTGGACGGTCAGCAGCAAATCCCTTGTCCCCACAAAAAAGAAGCGGAGAAAGACCACGGATGGGGTAAGTGGGCGCGAGAGGGAAGAGTGGCGTCTTCTTGCACGGTGTACTTGAACGCAAGGCGACAGCCCGGAGGGTGGCCTCTGCTGAGCTCAGAGAAGGAGTGGGTGAAAGAAAGCTTCCCATCCCTCTTTTTGGGCTGAGGAAGTACAGAGGACAGAGGGCCATTCCAGAAGTTTTGCCTTTGGCATTTTAGGTGAAAATAGCTGAATGTAGCCCATTGACCTACTCCTATCCAAATAGCAGCCACAACTCCAGGAGAGGAATAGAAATCATTTTGTCTTGACTGTCCAGTCATAGAAAATTATAGAACTCAAAATGTCTCTTACATTTACATCTTCTTTGGTTTTGTTTGAGATCCTTATAAATCGACGAGCAAACGTCCGTGTCTTTCCTGTCGCAGGGGATTTTCCTCGTAAGCTAATCAGCTTGGAAAATGCATGTTTCACAATATATTGTTCGCATTGATTAAAAGAACTTGGAATGGTTTATTTTCCAGATGCCAAGAAATAAAGTCTCCACTGAACCATTTTCTGAAATGAGATTTCTATGAGAGTGAACATTTGGCATTGTATGAAATTCTTGGTGCAGAGAAAGGAGTTCCTCGGTTTCCTTTATTGTTAGAAAACTTACATAAACAACTTCCCCCTAATTTATAAGGCTGAATTCCATAAAAAATACATGTTTGAAAGTATTTTTTAAAAAGGATAACAAGACTTTTTTTTTTTTTTTTTGGCAGTGAAGATTCCGATTTCTGTGCCATTTAGCGTTCTAAAACATGTGCCCAAAAGTCCGTATCCTTGATATTTAGCTGATGCCTATTTTGGTTTTATTTTTAAGAAACTTTCCGGGCGCCTGGGTGGCTCAGTTGGTTAAGCGACTGCCTTCGGCTCAGGTCATGATCCTGGAGTCCCTGGATCGAGTCCCGCATCAGGCTCCCTGCTCGGCGGGGAGCCTGCTTCTCCCTCTCCCGCTCCCCCCTCTTGTGCTCTCTCTCTCTCTCACTCTCTCTCTCAAATAAATAAATAAAATCTTTAGGAAAAAAAAAAAAAACTTTCCGACAGTCCCATTCTCTATTTTCACGGACTTCACAATAAGCGATAATTGGCAGCGCCTGGTTATGTCATAGGAAGATTTAAAGGAGCTCAGGTTGTGGGATCATAGGGGTTGGAAGCAAAATGTGACCTGTGCTGTGGATATGGGATCTGCACGCACATGCACACACACACACACACACAATACACGTGCATACACACACACGGATGTCATCCGTCAGCAAACAGCATCACGGGTTACTAGGCAACTTCGCAGTTTATTTCTATTCTATATCAGTGAGATAAATAAAACCTGAACTGCAGATTTTCTTGAAGTCATTAATAGGCCAGGTGAGCCAAAACTGTAGGTCACTATCTTAGGAGTGACTTACGTTCTTGGATCCACTGTAGGCAAGCTATAGGTCCTGTGGACCCCTAAATTCTCAATGTTAAAATCTGAGCAACTGAGATGAGGATTGGAAACTGGAGAAATCCAAAAGAACATGAGAAATTATGAAATGTCCTTTTTGGGTATCAATAGGTTCCCATTCACTAAGATACCATTCTGATATCCTTGGTAAATAAGAAGAGAGGGGGATTTTTCAAGGGGATGCTCTTTCAAAAGTGCATTTTCTTTTCCTCAGGAGATAACAGTTTGGGGAGAGTGATAAGCCATCCGACAGGAAACCCCCAGTAGAAGAAAGTGAGAATTGGTAGTTCATGCAGACACACTATCAGAGAGGTAGACGGCCCTCCACGAGGCGCCGAGAGGGTTTCTCTGTGGTGGTACCAGGGCAGAGCATGGGCCCTGCCTCCCCGCAGAGAGGTAGCCACGGCCTGGCGTCTGACCCTCAGACTTGCGGCTTGGCCATCAGCCTTCCAGAGCCAAACAGATGACGATGGCCAAGATCTGATCATTCACCCCTCAAACGCCCAAATCGTAAAGCGAAGCCATCTATAATCCACAGTGAGCGTTACGCTCACGCTTCTGACATGCCCATGAAAAGCCTGCTCTCTTGCTGAAAAGAGATCGGATGAGACCTGAAGTTATGATCCGAATGCGACCAGGTGACTGTGGAACTTAAACACAGGAGTTACTTATGTGACTCAGTGCTTGATGATTCCAGACGATACTCTTCCTGCAGCAAGGACACTGCATGCAGGAAACTGGAAGTACTCCCCACTGGGAAGTGCGTGCGGCCGGTGGCCTGCCGTTTGGAGTTGTGTTAGCGGTGTGCACTTTCTGTCCTTCGCAAATGTCAGTACCACCACCTAGACTGTTTCTTGGCAAGCCTATAGTCAGGGAGCTCTGAATCCCATCACGCGCATGGTAGTTTGACAAATGTTTGCATGGTAAGATGCACGACCTGATTTTTCTTCATTACAAGGTCTTGCAAGGGCGTTTCCTATCCTGTTTTCCTCTAACCCTTGAAAAAGCACCCGACTCAGAGTTATCAGACGTGGGCTCCTATCTTAGAGCTTCGATCAGACACCTGGTTTGCTCCGATGTGTCACTGGATCTCAGAGTTTAGTAGAATTCCTGTCTGGCCTCCAGCTTCACTTAATGCTGCAGGTCACACACACATGCTTGGATGAGTGCTTGGTATTAACAATAATGATGACAAAAAAATCTCGAAGCATTTTTTATAGGATGATTTTTCCTACTACTTTTTTTTTTTCTTTTTTAAGATTTTATTTATTTGACAGAGAGAGACACAGCGAGAGAGGGAACACAAGCAGGGAGAGTGGGAGAGGGAGAAGCAGGCTTCCCGAGGAGCAGGGGGCCCGATGCGGGGCTCGATCCCGGGACTCCAGGATCATGACCTGAGCCGAAGGCAGACGCCTAATGACTGAGCCACCCAGGCGCCCCCCTACTACTTTTGATTGAAAGGCACTCAGAGAAGATTTAAAAGAAATATTAAAGAAATAGTGAACGTCAATTCATAATTTTTCCAGGTATGTGCCAACATGAGCTTCTGTCAGGTTATGACAAACCCATCTCTTTTCTCCGTGAAGTGGTGTCTAGGATGGGAGGCGACAGAATTACTCATTTCTATAGTATCGGAGAGGATCCAGTAATTAGGATAAGGAACCGTTTCCAAAGAATATGTTTGGCCATTCTGTAAAATTTATCTGGACGCAGAGTAAAACTGCATTTTCAGATGCTCAAGATGAGGAGAACTGTGTGACCTTAGAGAATGAAGGCATACGCTGGGTAGAGGTGGATGTGTGCTTCCTGAGGACCATCTGGCTTCGGGATGAAGAGGACGGGCAGGGCAGGCTTGTAACGGGCTTGGCGCATCTTGTCTTCCTCTGCAGTCCCAGAATTCCGTGCTCCTGGACAGACTCCAGCCGGACTACGGCTACACCGTGGAGCTGCAGGCCATCGCATACTGGGGGCAGACGCGCCTGAAGGGGGCCAAGGCCTCCCTGCACTTCACGCCCGTGCATGCCACCAGCCGCAGTAAGTGCCTTGTGCTTGTTGTCAGGTGGGCACAAAAGCCAGGACTTGCCCGGGGTGGGGGGGGGGGTCTCACCTGGAATCGTGACCCGGTAATTCTTGGCGGGCGGTAAACCTACAATGCCGAGCTAGATGACCTCTAGAACGACCGTGTGTCTGACACTTTCCCCTTTGAAGTTTCTCTTTTGATTTTTATCCACTGAATATGCAATATTTTGGTGTCACAATGGAAATTTAACAAGAAAACTTAGGTCCCCTAAAAACGTGACAGGAGACACACCCATTTTCACGGGTATTCCCCAGCGCTCACCATCCCTTCATATTCCAGTTAGTAAGTTATTCCCATATTGATTTTCCTAGTTTCCGGCATGTTTGCGACAAACTGTGCAAAGCAGAAGGAGAGTCTTACATGGCACTCCTATCTGAGCCAGAAAATAAGTTACTTTCCTGTTTCTGGCTTTGTTCACAAGAGGGGACAGGTCAGAGCCGCAGTGGAGAAGCGCCTGGCAAGGTTTCTGGGAACGGGGCAGATGAAAGGGGTGTGTGATGTTGATTCCCTATGAGTAGAGCCCCGTGGTGTCTGCCTTTCATCATGGGTCTGGTGCAGAGGGCAGAAGGATGGGCTAAAACCCTGTCTGAATTTCGGAGAGGTGAGCCTCGCTATGCAGAATTAGATGCGGTCATTGCTTGTAATTATCTTCTACCACCTGCGAAACATCGGATCAGAACGAGCAGGTCTGTTTGAAATGACGCTTTCAAAAAAGTTCTAGAAACAGAGCTTCCTACCTGCTTGAGAAACCATCTCTTTGGAGATTAAATGTATTTGAAACAGTCTATGATATCTTTGTAGGAGTCTGGGTATAACACAACTTTTACCTAAAACTTCTCACGGAAACTTTTCTATATGTTTAGCAACTTATACTGATTTTCCAATCCTGTCATCCATCCATCCATCCTCCACCTGGAATGTAGGGCTATGGATTATGACATTACTGTGTCTAGTGATGGGGATACTTATCATGTGAGACTCTCTTATATGAGAAACACAGGTGCACTGTAGAGTGTGTATACTGCATGGACCAAGTATACACGATCTGGTATACATGGGCCATGTGTTTGTGTATGTGTGCTTGTCTGTGCATGTGCACGCACACACGCACACATGCACACGCACACACAAGCACACATGGATACACATACACACACGCACACACATGCACGCACACACAAGCACACATGGATACATACATGCACACATGCACAATGCATATACATATACACACGCACACATGCAAACACATATACACACGCATACACACATACACATGCAGACGCAAGCACACAGGCATACATATACACGCACAATGCATATACATATACACACGCACACATGCAAACACATATACACACGCATACACACATACACATGCAGACGCAAGCACACAGGCATACATATACACACACATGCACACACACATACACATATACACACATGCACACACGCATACATACACATATACACACATGTACACCCATGCACACGCACATATACACATGCACACACACGCATACACATATGCACACGTGCACACACATGCACACACGTACACACGTGCACACATGCATACATATATGCACACACGTGCACACATACACACGCATGCACACACATACACGCACATGCACACACATATACACACAATGCGCACACACTTGCACACACAATGCACACACGTACACATGCGCACACACGCATATACAGACACACGCAAACACATATACACATGCACACACATATACACATGCGCACACACATATACACTTGCACACATATACACATGCACAGACACATGCATACACATATACACACGTGCACACACATATGCATGCACACACTTATACACATGCGCACACATGCACACACAGATACACATGCACACACGCAAACACATATACACACACATGGACACACATATACACATGCACATGGACACATGCACACACGTACACACATGCACACATGCATACACATATACACGTGCAAACACGCGCACACACACATATACACATGCGCGCACACACACGCCCATGCACACATGCATACACATATACACACGCATCCACACACACATGCACACGCACACATGCACACACATATACACATGCACGCACACACACGACCATGCACACACATATACACACGCACACACGCATCCACACATGCACATGCACACATGTATGCACATATACACATGCACACGCACACATGCACGCACATATACACATGCACGCACACACGCATACACACAGGTACATGCATACGCATGCACGCACACATGTGCACACACGTTATTGCAGCACTAGATGCATTCTGATTGCTGCCTAATGTTGAGTTTAGAAGATAAGCATGTACACAAGACCACATGAGCATCAGCCCATTGCACACGGAGCCGTGAGGAACCGTGGAAGCAGAAGACACGTGGCAGTGGAAAAGGAGAGCCCTGAAGAGCAGGGAGGGCCCCCGCGGGCCCAGGAGGCATGGGCATCAGCCCACACGAGTGTGGAGTGTGTGCAAGTGCAGAGACCGGAAAGAGCCCCGAGTGTGCAGAGAAGTCAGTGCTGGGGGAGAAGAAAGGAAGGGGGAGTGGGAGGCTCTCCCAGGCTCTCCTGCAGCACACAGCTCCACCCTTCACCCCTCTGTTCACACCGGAGCCCGAGAGGCCATCTTCAGGATTCTCTTTCCTTTTTCTCGAGAAATGCAATTCTTTAAAAAGTCCTTCTGTCTCTAATGCCAAATTCTGTGTGGGATCTGTCAAATTCTTTGCCATGTTCAGGCCATTCCCACCTCTTTCTTAGAATTAAAATACTTCCCTAATTAATATTTGTCTCCAGTCTTTCTTAACTATCCATTTTGTAGATGGCAGCCAACACGTGCTTTAGAAAATATTCACCATGTAACAGATCTCTCCCTCTTCTGAGTTCTGAGAGTGTCACCTCTTCATCTTCTCCCCAGAGTTCGTCCTTCACTCCTTTCCCCTTCGTCCCTCCCCAGCTTCCTCCTCAGACCCAAGTCCTTCAGACCTTTTGTTCCTGCTAGTGGGGATTTCGTCTGTCCTGTAAAGTAGGTTTGCCTTTTAGTGTCCTGGTTTTTCCGGTAAACAGCATTCCTTCCCCATTAGAAACTGGTGTGGGATTGCAGACTCCCATAATTTGTGTGCATTCCCACAACCGAGAACAAGGAGGAAAAGAATCCGAGCTCAGCCGTGCCCTTGTAGAGGGCTCACTGTGGAGCGCCCCGTCATGGTCGCGCCCGGACCGAGCTGCAAGGGGGCTCTGGGCCTCTGCAGTTGCACATCTCGGGCTTTCTCACTCTTCCTGGCCCATCGGGTCAGTGAGACCCTCGTGGACTAGCTTCGTCTCCCAGCCTCTCCAGGATGATTGTAAACCTGTCTCTCTCACACCTTAAGCCATATTGCACAATAGAGTTCAGCTTCCTCCCTCTCGGTAAGGCACTCGGTTCCCCATAAATATGAACACATCATGTCTCTCTTCCCCTGTCCTCTGTACTGCAAGGCAGAAACATCCTGCTCTTTGCATATGGCAGACTGCACCATGTGGGGTGGAGGCCCACCACTTTCCGACTTGGCGAAGAACATCCACCAAACCAAAACCTCATCTAGGTCACGGAACACGGATTATCTTTCGTTGTTGCGCTCCACGTGTATACACACCGTGCACAGGTATTGTTCTGGAAGGATTTGTGGAACAGCCTCAGTCAGGAAGCCCTCTCTTACCTGCAACTGCAGTCAGCTTTCCATTGGACAGGTTGATTCTGAGTGCTAATGTCACTTTCTAATCATCTTTTAAAATTAGATAATGTTTTACCTGATCGATAAGGAGTTACAACAGTTAACCCTTCAAAGGCCACTTTATTCTCAGAATTAGCTGATGCCTCTCATGTGGCTTCAGAAAGGTGGTAGAGGAAAAGTAAAAAATGAACAGTGCAAAGTACCTGTCATACGCGTATTGTTTAGTCTCAGGGTGTCCTGTGGAAGAGAAGGGCTTTACGAAGGATTATGCAGGACGTAGGTGAATATTTGTCAGGATTTCATATACTGGAGTTGATGTGCAATCTCATGAGGGCTAGTATATGACTTTTTAAAAAAGATTTTATTTATTTATTTGACATAGAGTGAGAGAGGGAATGAGAGAATAAGCAGAGGGAGCTGCAGAGGGAGAGGGAGAAGCAGGTTCCCCACTGAGCAGGGAGCCTGATGCGGGGCTCGATCCCAGAACCCTGGGATCATGACCCTGGGATCATAACCTGAGTCGAAGGCGGACGCTTAATCGACTGAGCCACCCAGGCACCCCTAATATATGACTTTTACAAGAACACTGTGTATTTCATCATGGACTAACGAGAAGTAAAGAATAACTTCAACTTTATAGTATAAGCCAGGGAAATTACATTTTATACGAAAGAGGGTAGTAAATGCCAGCATATAAATTACTTTTTGAAATACGTTTTCCCAGGGCTGCAGGCTACTCAGTGTTTCAATGACACAAATCCCTACATAAGCAAAAGCTGAGTGTTCATGCTGTGTTATAAAAGAGCCCCTCGAAGGAAGAAAGATGTAACACTCTTGAATGGAAATGCAGCTTGCTTTTTTGGAGGCAGGAGGATCATTTCCAGGGTTGACAGATTGCAAAGGTTTTATAGTTGCATCAGGCAACTGGGGGATTCTTCTAGCTCTTAAAAATGGAGCAGAGAGGAGGAAATATGCTGAATCTCTTGATCTGTAAAATTATTCAGAATTTTGACATTTGAAAAAATAGTGTACTCATTCAGTTCTCTTACCTTTGGGGCTATTAAAGAGTATCAGTCATACCTCGTATCTTTTCACAACACGTAGAAATGATTTTATTGTGTTTTGGTTTATTACTGACAGTGCAGGACTCCCCCTTAGAGTCAGGGCCATGCTCCTAGGACAGAGGCCCGCGTCTCCCTGTCCTTCCCGTGTGGGGTGACTCGGCAACGCTAGTGTGGATGCATTTCAATAAAGCAATGGCATTTCCATCTTGAAATACAGAAAACTACGTCCTTGCCTATATGTAGTGAAAAATAAAAGCATGTGTAGGACATAACAAAGTAGGAAGATAAAATTCACATAGAGGTTAAACATAGTATCTAAACTTTTGCTTATCCATGGCAAATTCTCAAAGTCGCAGATTATTAAAGGGATTAGAAGCATAAATGGGGGGGGCGCCTGGGTGGCTCAGTCGTTGAGCGCCTGCCTTCGGCTCAGGTCATGGTCCCAGGGTCCTGGGATCGAGCCCCGCGTCGGGCTCCCTGCTCAGCGGGAAGCCTGCTTCTCCCTCTCCCACTCCCCCTGCTTGTGTTCCCTCTCTCGCTGTCAAATAAATAAATAAAATCTTAAAAAAAAAAAGAAGCATAAATGGGCTTGTGAAGATCTTCGATCCTTAGTTAGCGAGTTAACAAATACTTTAGGTGTGACCAGCAGGATTCTTGACGTCCCCGGCGATCAGGACAGGGATGAGTTTTGCCCGAGAGGCCTGTGGGTTCTGTGTCGTGGCCCAGCTTCTGTGTGCTCTGAGCTCTCCGTGCTGCTGGGCACACTGGCTCTCCCTGGGGGATGACCCAGCGCCTCTCAGAAAGTAGCTGGGATGCTGTGATTTACAATCAGCAGCATGTATTCGGTCTTCATCTCTGGCACAGAGACTCCATAAACACGCAAACAGACAGGAGGCTGAACGGGGCGGTGAACACGGAGGTCTGGGGGAGAGCGGTGCCCCTGGGAGGGTGCGGAAGCTCTGTGTCCCTTCTCCCGGACCTGACTCTGGGCATCTCTTCATCTGCCTCATCCTGACTTACAGCCGTTTATCATAAACCGGTAGGTAATTTAGGAAGTAAATGTTTCTGAGTTCTGTGAGCCACTCTAGCAAATTACCTGAACCCAAGGAGTTGGTGGTTGGAACCTCCGCTTTATAGCAGGTAGTGAGAGTCACAGGTGACAACCTGGATTTGTGATTGGTCTCTGAAGTGGGGGGGCAGTCCTACAGGACTGAGCCCGTGCACTGCAGGGAGATGGTGTAGACGGTGTCAGAGGGGGACACCCTCCTCCCCGACATGGATGGTGTCCGTAGGGGATCTGATGCCGTCTGCAGGGACATGGTGTAGACGGTGTCAGAGGGGATGTCCCCCTGACATGGATGGTGTCTGTAAGGGATCTGATGCCATCTTCAGGGACATGGTGTAGATGGTATCAGAGGGGATGTCCCCCTGACGTGGATGATGTCCGTAGGGGATCCGATACCATCTGCAGGGACATGGTGTAGACAGTGTCAGAGGGGGATGCCCCCCCCCAACATGGATGGTGCCTGTAGGGGATCCGATGCCATCTTAGGGTAGATGGTGTCAGAACTGAGCTGAATTGTAGGACACCCCACTGGTGTTTGAGGTCGGCCGGTAGTGTGATAAACCCCTAGTACCTACACTGGATTTGGGTGCAGGAGACTGGAACCTCATAAATGTTCTTGGGAATCCAAACATTTATTTGAATTGTTTAAAGTACAACATTGTACATTAGAACCTGAGTCACGTAAGTGTCCCTTTCCTTTGAATCGTGTAGATGATTCAGGGCGTGTGCTGGTGGGAGGAGCAGTGGGTGGTCGATGCAGGTTTCCTCCCGTGGTCCTCAGTTTTCCCCTCCTAATCCTGCCTCACCACGGGTCAGGAGTCTTGTCCCCCACCGGCATCATTCCCCTGTGCTCCTGTCTTCCCAAGCCCACGAAACTCACAGACCTGTCGGGAAAGGTTCTTATCGGTCGACAATTTGTGCAGCTCAAACTGTTCTTCTCCACAAGGCTACTGGGAATCACAAAGCAGGAAAGTCTTGTGGAAGTTCTAACCATGCCACTTCCAAAACTAAGGGTTGGGTAAAGGAGAGATTTGAGGCCAGTGGAAAGTTCTGAGATCCTTATTACTAAACCACGTAGATAATCACCTTGCTCTCTAAAAGGAGGTGGTGGGTGGTGATGGGGGAGCGTGAGCTTGACGTGAGATGGCCCTGGGATTGCAGCTCACCCTCGCTACTGCTTGAATTGCGTGAAACTGGACACTGTTCTTAGTATTTTGGAACCTTGCGGTTTTTGTGTTTAATATGGGCAGGCTAACGTCACTTCCTCGGGGGTCTGCAAACGATGGCCCACAGGCCACATCCGGCCCACCGCCGGTTTTTGTAAATAAAATGGTATTGGCCCACGGCCACACTCCCTTGTTTACAGATCATCTGTGGCTGCTTTCGTGCCATCATGAGAGCTCCGTACTTGGGTGAGACCGTGCGGACCCCGAAGCCAGAACTATTCGCCCCCCAGCCCTCGACTGAACAGTTGATTGGGAGCCACTCTAGCAAATTAGTTGAACATAGGAGAGCTGTATGAATAGAAATAGAATGGTGTGGAAGCTCGTCAAGCACACGAAAGAGCACCGGACACACACCTGGAGAAAACAGTAGGTGGACGGGCCCTGCTGCAGCAGACGGAAATGTGCCCTGGAGAAACAAGCGTGGAACAGTGGAAATCCAGGGAGGTTCGAAGAGGGTCTGCTGCTCCCGGAGTTCAAGGTTCAGCTGGAGGAACAGATGCAAGGGGGGAAGAGTGATTGAAAGCTGGGAAAATATGGATATGCAGAGGAGGGTTTGTTTCCGTATGTCGTGGGAAATCATCTCTGAGGATGGCAGGTGGGGACTTTGGGAGGACACAGTATTGTACCCGGCAAGGACAAGGAGCGTGGGCTGGTGCATTCTGAGCTAATGGGGTCTGAAACCTAGTGACGAAGGAGCCCAACAGATTGTAGGGATTAAGAAAGGCACAAATGGGAAAGATGCAGCTGCATTAAAACAGCAAAATAGAAAGAACACTAAAACCAGAGCTGGATCGTGCCACAAAACAGCGCCAGAGAAGAAACAGCCTAGCCTAGGGTGGTGGAAACCAAAGTTTGAATTACCTGATTCGGAAGAATGTTTCCTGGTGTTCTGTTTGATTGGAGACTTCCTCTGAGTGCCATTGCATACGGGACATCTGAGGCTTGGGATCGTTCTGAATCACGTTTACACTGTCCTTGCTTTGCAATAAGTACGTGGTGAATGCAGTGTTCCACTGACCACGGGGGAACATCATGTTAAGAAATAGCAGTGACTAGGGCGCCTGGGTGGCTCAGTTGGTTAAGCATCTGCCTTCGGCTCAGGTTGTGATCCTGGAGTCCCGGGATCGAGTCCCACATCGGGCTCCCTGCTCAGCGGGGAGTCTGCTTCTCCCTCGGACCCTCTTCCTTCTTGTGCTGTCTCTCATTCTCTCTCTCAAATAAATAAATAAAATCTTTAAAAAAAAAAAGAAAAGAAATAGCAGTGACTATGCATATGCACTCAGTCTCGTCTTTCCTAAAGCATCCCCTTTCCTACTGCAACCGTCCCATCCCGTTCTTATAACTCTTGTTTGCAAGACACTCTTTGGTGGCTTTTCCAAAGAATAGGCACCAGCAGCTTGTGAGACGCAAACAACTCCTTCCCTCCTCCCCGTGCCCTCTCCTTGACTATGGCCTGTGAGCGAGCCTTCAGGAGCACTCTGCACTGTGTGTGGGATCAGCTGCACACCGGTCCTGTGCTATTGCAGGAGCCCCGGGCACCCGAGCTTTGTATGTACGGCCTCTGGCTCGCTGCCTGACACTTAGGAAGTGGTCACTAAGTACTGATGGGAAAGCATGAATGAGTGAATCAATGCACCCTTCAACTCCATCCCCAATCTAACGTATCATTGCTCTGCATTTGCTGACTCTTAGTATTTCATGTACAAAGTCGATTGAACATTTAGGGCCTTGCTCCGGGCGTTGATGTATAATGCTGGTACGTCTATGAAAAGCTCTCTGTATTGTTCCCAGGCCAGGTGGCATTTTCATAGTATTTCACTTACTTTCTTCACAGCTACAAAAAATACATATATAATGAAAAATACCAGCCGTACCTCTTTTTTAAATCAGAGCAGCCTTCCCGCCCAGTGAACGTGTACTGATTACCCATTCTTTCTGACCAGGAAATCACAATGTTGTACTTTGTTGCAGAAGAGCAACTTGGGAAAACCAGAAAGAGCACGATGCACATGCAGCCCCCTTTCCAACGACGACGGCCTGCGCGCCTCCTGGAAATCGGAGCCCCCTTCTATCAAGACAACCAACTGCAGGTGAAGGTCTACTGGAAAAAGACCGAAGGTGCGCAAACGCTCTCTGATGATTTGTCATCTACATCAAGTAGCCCAGTGACATCAGGTGGCTATTGAAAAAGTCAAGGTTGAGCCATGGTGTTGATAGTTTTTTTTTAAGATTTATTTATTTTAGAGAGAGAGAGAGAGAACATGAATGAGGGGAGGGGCAGAGGGAGGGGGAGAATCTCAAGCAGACTCAACGTTCAGCACAGAGCCCAATGTGGGGATCGATCTCATGACCCTGAGATCATGACCTGAGCTGAAACCAAGAGGCAGACTATTAACCGACTAGCTACCCAGGTGCTCCTACCACAGTGTTGATATTAAGGAAAATAGAGCCCGAACAAAACATTTAGATCCTTTTTTTTTTTTTTTAAATGCCTTGCTGTTGTGAAGTCTGAGTGAGCTGCCCCTCCTTTCCCAGGAATCCGTATCATGTTTGGAAATCAGCATCGGTCAGCCAGTTGCATTTTATCGTCTCAGGGATGTTAGCCTGTCTTCACTGCTTTCAGAAGGCCAGTCTTGTCTCCAAAACAATCAAGATACTCATTATTCTACACTGTAAATTTTTGTTCCAAATTAGTTTTTTGTTTAAAAAAAGATGCAGAGGAGCGCCTGGGTGGCTCAGTCGTTAAGCATCTGCCTTCGGCTCAGGTCATGATCCCGGGGTCCTGGGATTGAGCCCCGCATCGGGCTCCCTGCTCAGCGGGAAGCCTGCTTCTCCCTCTCCCTCTGCCTGCCGCTCACCCTGCTTGTGCTCTCTCTCTCTTTCTCTCTCAAATAAATAAATAAAATCTTTAAAAAAAAGATGCACAACCCCAATAATTTGGAAAATAGAGAAAGAAGTCACTTCAGTATTATCTCCTAGAAACAGCGTTTTGGCGGATGTCCTTTCGAAAGCTTCCTACACTTCTGTTCTTCCCTCATTTGTTTTTATTCACACAGATATATAATAGTTTTATGTAGAACATACGCACTTTCATATAACATGGGAGCATTCTGCATTATTTCTGGTGCCGTGTTTAAGTCACTGCTGTGTAGGGACATACAACAATATCCTAAAATACCATCATTCCACTACAGCCAAACCCTTGGATGCCTTCAGAGTTTCCATTTTACAAATAATACTGCAAGGAAGATTTACCCTTAGAATTAATTCTGTTTGTTTTGAGTATTTGTTTGAATAGTTGTCTAGGATAAATTCATTTCCTTTGGTTTTCTTTATTAAGACTTTTTTTGCATTATTGAAATAGTATTTTTGGAATTATTTGATCTACATTTCCATGTTTGTCACTCATATGCCTTTTGAAAACAAAAGAAAAATAGATTGTTTTAAGAGTTCGTTTTTAACAGTTCTTCCAGTTCTTCTGAAGTGCGGTGTTACTCAGGCCGTGTGCCACACAGAATATTGGTGTTGGTAGGGCGCCTGGGTGGCTCAGTCGGTTGAGCATCTGACTCTTGATCTTAGTTCAGGTCTTGATCTCAGGGTTGTGAATTCAGACCCCATGGTGGGATCCATGCTGGGCATGGAACCTACGTGTAAAAAAAAAAAAAAAGGGGGATATTGGTGTTGGAGTTCTTCTTGTTCCAGAATTTTCTTCCAAGCTGCTGACATCCATTCTGCAGCTAAAATAATATTACAATGAATATTAATGTTTTATTACTCTCATATATTAATTAAAACTAAATTGTATGCAGTGTTGTTTATTAAATTAAAAATTATTCATTAATATATAGTCCTATTCCTAAGTTTAATAGGTTTTAGAATAAATATTAAATTACAAAATTTATTTAATCTATTATATTTACCAATTTTAGATTAGAACTGTATATCATTGATATATCAATAGTAAAACATTGCCATAATATTGAAAATATAAACATCTTCTATAATGAAATAGAAATATAAACATTGAGAATACATCTTAAGCATACAAGAGCAAGCACTGTCATCATGACTTCTAAATGTGAAGGTTGGTTTTGCCAATATATTTTTTTTTATTTTTTATTTTTTTTAAGATTTTATTTATTTGTGAGAGAGAGAATGAGAGACAGAGAGCATGAGAAGGAGGAGGGTCAGAGGGAGAAGCAGACTCCCTGCTGAGCAGGGAGGCCGATGTGGGACTCGATCCCGGGACTCCAGGATCATGACCTGAGCCAAAGGCAGTTGCTTAACCAACTGAGCCACCCAGGTGCCCCAAGTTTTGCCGATATTTGAAATGTATACAACTTGGACCCATACGGTGTGTACTGGGCTTCTTGCAGTGAACACGATACAGGAAATGGGAAACGAACACATTCTGTTGCAGGACGCACTAATTCATCCATGTCTCATGCTGCTCCTAGCCCCTGGTAGAGCTCTGCTAATGGCTTTTTTCAGCCGGTGCTGGGGGATTTGGTTTGTCCCGCTGATGGGTTCTGCAGCACAGTGCTGCTGTGAACACAGGCCTTTGATGTACATATTCTCCCGGACGAGGGGGGACTCTTGGGTGATTCAAGCATGCAGAGCTTTGGAAGACACTGACGGTTTCCCACAGTGGTTGCACCAGCCATTCCCACTTGCAGGGCACGATCGTCCCAGTGCGCCCCCCTCTCTCTGCCGTGTGGAATTCCCATCTTTTTGACTTGAGCTGTTCTGGCACCCACGTCTTGATAACTCCGCGTTGTCTGAGCTTCCGTTTTTAAGCTGTTCAGGCAGGCTGTCCTTCCTGCAAGAGGCCTGTATACGTTGAGTATATGAGTCACCTGCTGGTTCCCTGGTTTTGGTGTTTTTTCCCTGTGTGACCTACTCTTACCTTCCTCCCTTTCTCAGTGGTTCTGAGTTTTAGAGGGGGGATCCATTCTTTACTTTGTTTCCTTTAGGTGAGAGCTCTTGCTGTCCTGGTTGAGGATCTTTGCTTATACAGGGTCACAAAGATCCTCCCGTCACCTCCTAGAAGTTAGACCGCTTCACCTTTCTCTCTTAGGCTGACTTCCACCTGGAACGGACTTTACTCGTAGGGCTCACTGTTCTTTTACTCTTCTCTCCCTCCTGATCTGCAGCTGACACAGCATCATTTATTTAAAGATGACTCCTTCTCCAAAGCTCTGGGCTGCTACACTGGCCCTACATCAAAAGTATGGGCAAGTTAACTTTTTAACTTTCTGTACAGTCATTGGGTATATTTTTCCAACTTTCTGGCACTACCTTGTTGTCTTAACTACCATAGATTTGTAAATATTTTTAATCATAGTTCAGTTTTTTTTTAACTTCATTTTCAAATCGTCTTGACTCTTCTTGGCCCTTTGTATTTTTATATTAATATTTGCATTAATTTGCCAATTTCCACAAAACCTTTGTAAGATCTTTGTTGAGATTACAATCAATCTATATGGTAATGACTGCAAAATTCACATCTTAAAAATCTCCACTTGATGCATAACTTTATTCAGGTTTTTAAAATTTTCTCTGAACAGTGATTTATAATATATAATGCAGAGGCTATAATACTTTTAATATGATTCTAAGGTGTTTGTGTTTATTTTGATCCCATTACATACATGCATACTTTTCCTCAGTTTTATTTTCTTTTTTTAAATTTAATTTAATTTTATTATGTTAGTCACCATACATCATTAGTTTTTGATGTAGTGATCCACGATTCATTGTTTTCATATAACACCCAGTGCTCCATTCAGTACGTGCCCTCTCTAATACCCATCACCAGGCTAACCCATCCCCCCACCTCCCTCCCCTCTAAAACCCTCAGTTTGTTTCTGAGAGTCCATAGTCTCTCATGGTTCGTCTCTCCCTCCAATTTCCCCCGCCTTCATTTTTCCCTTCCTTCTCCTAATGTCCTCCATGGTATTCTTTATGTTCCACAAATAAGTGAAACCATATGATAATTGACTTTCTCTGCTTGACTTATTTCACTTAGCATAATCTCCAGTCCCATCCATGTTGATGTAAAAGTTGGGTATTCATCCTTTCTGATGGCTGAGTAATATTCCATTGTATATGTGGACCACATCTTCTTTATCCATTCATCTGTTGAAGGGCATCTTGTGTCTCCACAGTTTGGCTATTGTGGAGATTACTGCTATGAACATTGGGGTGCCTATGGCCCTTCTTTTCACTACATCTGTGTCTTTGGGGTAAATACTCAGTAGTGCAATTGCTGGGTCATAGGGTAGCTCTATTTTTAATTTTTTGAGGCACCTCCACACTGTTTTCCAAAGTGGCTGTACCAACTTGCATTCCCACGAATAGTGTAAGAGGGTTCCCCTTTCTCCACCACCTCTCCAACATTTGTTGTTTCTTGCCTTGTTAATTTTTGCCATTCTAACTGGTGTAAGGTGGTATCTCAATGTGATTCTTAAAAAAATTTTTATTATGTTAATCACCATACATCATTAGTTTTTGATGTAGTGTTCCATGATTCATTGTTTGCGTATAACACGCAGTGCTCCATTCAATACGTGCCCTCTTTAATACCCATCACCAGGCTAACCCATCCCCCCACCCCCCTCCGCTCTAGAACCCTCAGTTTGTTTCTCAGAGTCCATAGTTTCTCAGGGTTCATCTCCCCCTCCTATTTCCCCCCCTTCATTTTACCCTTCTTCTTCTTTTTTTAACATACAATGTATTATTTGTTTCAGAGGTACAGGTCTGCAATTCAACAGTCTTACACAATTCACAGCGCTAACCATAGCACATACCCTCCCCAATGTCTATCACCCAGCCACCCCATCCCTCCCACCCCCAACCACTCCAGCAACCCTCAGTTTGTTTCCTGAGATTAAGAATTCCTCATATCAGTGAGATATGATACATGTCTTTCTCTGACTGACTTATTTTGCTCAGCATAATACCCTCCAGTTCCATCCACGTCATTGCAAATGGCAAGATTTCATTCCTTTTGATGGCTATGTAATATTCCATTGTATATCTTTACCACATCTTCTCAGTGTGATTTTGATTTGAATTTCCCTGATGGCTAATGATGATGAACATTTTTTCATGTGTCT